GCAACAGAGAGTTGCGACCTTTACCTCGGTAGCGTAGTCTTTTCTTGAGACTCACAATTACAAACTGAATATTGATGGTGCTTCCTTGAGAAATCCAGGCTTAGCAGGTGGTGGTGGAGTCATCAGGAACAGTGCGGGTGGTTTTATTGCTGCTTTTGCAAAGCAATTTGGTCTTGCTTCCAATAACCATGCAAAATTTTTGGCATTTGAGGAAGGAGTTCAATTGGTTATTCAAAGTAATTGCTTTCCAATTCAAACTGAAAGTGACTCGGCTTTGCTTGTGAATGTCATTCAAAATCGATGCAATGCTCCATGGAGGCTAAAGACGATTGTTGACAATTGTTATACCAGAATGTCTTCTCATCAATGGTCCATCACACATGTCTTTCGTGAGGCTAACATGGCTGCTGATGCCCTTGCTAAGAGGGTAGCTGCTGGCCCCGGTACTACTGTGTAGCGCCATTGACCACCAGATTTTCTTTCTTCTCTTTTATTACATGATATGACGCAAGTGCCCTTTCATAGGGTTGTGCCTTAATTGTTTTCCTCTGGTTTTTTATTAATGAAAAACGGGTTGGGGGGCTTCTCCCCCACTGACTTACCCAAAAAAAAAAGCTTACAGGATTCTCTAGTCAGTTCGTCGAGTTTTTTAACATTGTTATAGTGGAGCAGTCAATAGAGCCATAATGACCAGGCTGAAAGGCCTTATCACATTTGTTTGGAGGGAGGACATGTTGAGGATGTCAAGGAAAATATATCTAAGAAGGCACAACCCCCAAGGCTTGGAGTATTATTAGGGCATATGAGTTGCAGAACACCATACCAATTTTTTGTCATTGTTAATGGGGCGGTGCTACAAGTTTTGGATCAATAATAGGTAATGATGTCTCTCTTGAGGTCTTATTCCTTGAAGACATGAGGCTATCAAGAAGTAAATAGTAGGAGGTTGGCAAACATTTCATTGAAGAAGAGGGAAAATTTCTTGAAACCTTATTTATGGACTCATTTGGGAGATGAAATGATGAATCATGGATATGTTGAACTCCTTGCCATTATTAGGCTGGGTGCTGATGTAGGGTTGACAAGTTAGTGGGGTGTATTGAATGCTTCGATCTATTCAAGGAACTCCATGCATAAGATCCTGAGAAGGGGAAATATTTCCTTTAAAGGGGGAATAGGAAGCCCCTCAGATAGTTGGCTTCTAGCTAGCCAACAAGGCAACAACCGTAAAACCCTATCATTGAATTGACATAAGAGATTGTGGCTTATGCCAATAGATTTGTCTCTGTAGGAGGGGGAAGAAACAATGGAGCATCTATTACTACATGGCCCTGAGACTTGATTGATTTGGGAAAGCATTCTTGATATGTTCATCCTCACAGAATATATCTCATAAATAATGTGAAAATAATGCCGCCATTCCCAAGATCCAGAGTGACCTAAAATTTTTGACATGGCCTTGTATACCAAGAGTATACAGATAATCAAGGAAGAGAAAAGAAAACATGCATTATAATATGGAAACCAGCTCGTGATACAAAGAGTGGACAGGCTATGCATTCGATCAAAAACAAGAAGCAATCACTTCCGATGTAGTTTTGTATTCCATTGGTGAGCTATTGAATCTCAGAGTATAGAAAATTTTCATCCTCAATGGCCTTTGCTTGAACAAGCACAGCAGATCAGAGCGACTAAAAAAATAACATTCTTAGGTAATTCAAAGACCAGTCATAGATAACAAACAATTTGTGGATGGAGGTGTTTCAGTCATAAGTTTAGGCTTCAAGAAATTGTTAGGTAATTCTTAGGTAATCAAAGAACAGTTTTTGAAGGTCAATTTTGGTGCATAACCTAAACGAAAATACAGCCTACGGGGTTTTGGCGATGCCATTCATGATATAATCAGCATTCACCAAGCACTCCTAAATTTCTAATGAGTCACATGGCGACACTCGTACATGTGTTGACATGTACATAGGCTTCACATGTTGATTGAGTGTGTGCCAGGCGATTTTTGTGCTCTTCGGTATGTATTGATACTTCATATAAAAGCAATGTTTAAAAAAAAATGAATCGTGACCCGGATCTCCAATCGCAAAAAACCAGTCCAGATCGTCAGATCGGCAATCCAGACTAGTGGACCAGCCGGACTGGCCTGACCTGCCCTAAAAAAAATTTCAAACAAAGTATTAAAAATCTTTATAACTATTATTTTTTTGAGTTTCCGAAAAAAAATGAAGTGCATCATGGACTTTCAATATTTTGCAAAAATATGTGATTATTGAGACAACGTTCCTTGTCTAAGTGTCTATTGATATTAATTTTGATACTAATTTTTTATACTTAACAGTACTTTTACATAATTTCTTATACTCATTTTGTGATTTTTAGCGAATAAATGAGGACGAAAGTGGTTTTTGATACTAATTGTCAGTTCTATGATTTTCCTCTCGCACACATTGGACCTCTCTCTCGCACATACACACACAAAAAGCACATTGGACATCTCTCTCACTCTCTCTCTTACATATACACATACAAATATACAAACATATACGACCTGTCTCTGTCTCTCACACATACAAGGACATTGGGCATCTCTCTCTCTCTC